CCCTCCTACCTCTAGGCCATTCCCAATACAATATGTTTTCGAAGTAACAGCTATAAAGTGATTTCTTTGTGTAATAACGATGTTTATATAACTTTTTGATGCTGGAAGGAGGTGGGCTAAAAACACGAGTTTTTTCACTTGTTTTGATAAAATATTCTAATACTCTGTTAAAACGCACCGCAAAACGTCTCACTTTTAATGGAGCAATTAAATTTGGGCACAAAACACCTAACAGACGATTTTATTACTAAGTTCACCGTAAAAATGCATCCCTTTGCTGGCCACACGCGAAATTTTTGGCTGAGCGTTAGCGAAGCCTAATACTCCAGTGATGATCAAGAATTTTTACGTCTGTCTGTCATCACGATAACTGGAGAACGGTGTGAGCTAGGTTCTTAGCCAAAAATAACGCAAATGCCGAAGTAAATCCGCTAACGTTATCAATGTTAACCGTTAATATCATAACTTAAAGTCTTGTTATTTAGGTCAAAACGTTATTATCGAGATTTTCGATAAATGGTATGGTTAGTACGAGGGGGAAACAGCTTTGTGTCAGCCGGATTACGGATTACCCGGATTACCTCTGGAAAATCCTCCGGATTACGTTGTTTTTTTTTTCTCTCGGATTAACCTTCATTACCCTAAAATTTCCTCGAATTACCCATGGCTTACATTGAATTTCCTCGGATAACACCTGAAGGATTACATAACGGCTGTCAGCCGAATTACCTTAGTCGTTACCCCCGCGGTTTAGTAACTCCAACATTAACATTCGTAAAAAATTGTAGTTCTGCACACCCTGCTAGATATATGCATGACACATTGTTTAAAAAAACTGCAGGAAATTTCTACAGTGTGCCCTGTCAATTTGTTACTACGCCCGTGACTGTAACTTTGAATTACGGTCCACTCCGTACCTGATGTACCGCAATCCGCCACACTTGAAAAAGAACATTCTCTGTTTTCGTTTGGTGTAGGAATTCTTAGGATTTTGGAAAGATTTCATAGGGCTTCGGGAAGATGCTGTGGGATTTCAAAAAGATTTTAGGAGATTTCTGGACGATTTTATGGCATTTCCTTGAGATTGCACAGATGTCGAGAAGATTGAACGGGTTTTTCATGTCTTTGACGGGGATTTCAAGGAATTCACAGATTTCAAATGGATTTCCACCAATACGGAAGATCTTAGCAAAATTTCAGGGATTTCTGAATGGATTCCTAGGGGTTTGTGCATCACATTTCATGAGTTGTGCGGCTCCGTCGAATTGCACAATCCCTGAAATCGGGAGTTACGCCATTGGCGGCAAGCCACTGCAGCGGCACTGCATGATAAGGCAGCCAAACACCATGCTAAGCGTTTGTCACCCAGCTGAAGTGCGTTAATCTCGATATAATAAGGAACAGTCATTGTCCCTCAATTCGGACGGTTTTTGAGGAAAAACGCCTGTGACATCTAGAATTTTTGAAGTATGAAAAATCGGTGGGGATTCTAGAATCCTCACGTCGGGACGCACCTACCCTACCACTCTCCGAAAATATTTTTTCGCGCTAACGGTATAGGGTTGAGGGCTGTTTCCCGTGAAATTTCGTTTGTATAGGTCCCGTATACGATACATGTACAATTCGTACGTGTGCATACGGGTGCCGTGTACAATTTCTACGTGAACCGGACATGTGCACACGGCCGCCGTATGTCCGCCTTACATGAATCGCCGTACGTTGCATACGGGTTTCATACGTTCGTATACAAACTGTACATTCCCCGTACGGTAGCACCCAATGACGCATACGGAACACATAGGCTCCCCAACAAAATCCAAACGCAGTCCGTACAGCACATACAAGTTGCATACGCGCACATACACACCGTACGGACTCCATAAAGCATCATGCTATCACTTATATTTGATTCCTAAGCTTACCAATATAATCCTAACTTGATATCATGACCTTGCGATTGAATACTGCTTTGAATGCAATCCTTCCAAAAAAACTATTATTAAAACCTTTTTGACGTTGTGTTCGTTAATAGTGAAGGGGATCCGAACAATTCACACCTGTAAGAAACTCTGCACCTCTGTTGTAGAACACTGCTTTATGGTTGATACGCTTTTCTTTGACTGACCAAAATTGGATTAAGAGCGCATCGAGTGATCTTAAGTACGCAGGTGCATACATAGGGCTCATTTGTTTTTCTACTTGGGTGTAGATATGGTAATGGGTTTAAGGACCACCTCCGTTATAAGACTAAGGCACAAACTTGGTATCCACGAGCACTACACTGTTAAAATTAGTATTGTAAATTTACGATACCTGTATCGTAAACTTTCATAGCAACAAGTGTTGTTATATTACAACACTCTTGTCAGAAAAATATCGTTATTTTACGGTAATGTTACAAATTTTTTTTTCTTAAGATCAGGGATAGGGTCTTGACTATTTCTGTATGGTTTACAACTGTGTCGTCAGATTACAACATTCTTGTGAACATACAAACAATATCGTTTAGAAACGACTCGGTCCTGTTTCTCAACAAATAAATCGTTATTTTACAGAAAAAAAAATCGACTAATATTCTTAACTTTCAATTTTCTTTTCATCAAAACTGAGAAAACAACTCATTTTTATTTATTTCTGTAAAATAACGATTTGTTCGTTGAGAAACATTTTCTTTCGTTTTAAAACAATGAGTTCGTTCTAATACGATACTGTAGTATTATGGTAACATTAACCTAACCAGGTTACAGCAGAATACCCTCAGTCACGGCCACTAGTGATCACTATGGAGGCGACACCTACACTCAGACCCCTGAACCTTTAATTGTTTTACGATCGCCTTGTTCTTC